AGCTTGTGACATGGCTTTAAGAGGTTTGGGGCAGGATTTATGCAGCCAGCTCCAGAGTGGTCCTCCAGTGTGGAACTCAGTGGGCATCCCCATCTGATACTGCAACTTGGAAGTCTGATGGTAAATCTGCATATGCAAATATACATGTGTGTGATATAAACGTGGTTCTGTAATTGAATATCAGCCTCATCATGCACTTCTATGGGGAGACTAGAATTGTATGCATAGGTGTGAGGCAGACACTGTTTCACAGTTTTCTGTTCCATGAAACAAATCCATGACTCATGCCATTGCAACCCTACTTATTGCAAGTCAGATTCACCACTGCTGGGGGTAGTAGGAATGTCAAGTTCATCTCTTTTGGTGTTATTATAATATCTTCATTTATACAGGCAGAAATCAGGAGCTTAGGAAAAAGAAAATGGGTTTGTGGTCAAAGAGACTGGGGTTCAATCCCAGTCCCATGAATTTATGGCTATGACATTACGCAAGTGATTTTAGTCTTTCTGAAACTATAGTTCCTTATTTGTAAATTGGAACAGCAGTGCTTTTGTTAACTAGTATATTATTAGCATTAAATAGAATGTTTTCTGTAAAGTTTGTAAAGTTTGGAAGATAGTAGATACTAAAAAAATTTTAGCCTTTAAAAAATTTTTTAATTTAATCTTTATTGTATTTTTTCCATTACCATTGAGTCCCTTTACCCCCCCCAGCAATTACTACACTGTTGTCCGTGTCCCCAAGTCCTTTCTCCTTTTTGCTCAGCCCCTCCTCTCCCAGCCTGTAATCTCAACTAATTGTCCTCTGCTCTCCATGTATGAGTCTGTCCCCATGTTCCTTGTTAGTTCAGTTTACTCATTAGATTCCACCTGTAAGTGAAATCATATGATATTTGTCTTTTTCTAATGGGCTTGTTTCACTCAGCATAATTTTCTCTAGGTTCATTCACACTGTTGCAAAGGGTACAATTTTCTTCTTTGTTACAGCCAAGTAGAACTCAGTTGTGTAAAAGTCCCATAGTAGTTTTATCCACTCACCTATTGATGGACATTTGGGCAGCTCCCATATCTTGGCCACTGTAAGTAATTCTGCAGTGAACATAGGGGTGCTTGTGTTCTTTTGAATTAGTGTTTTGGGTTCCTTCAGATATATTCCCAGAAGTGGGATAGCTGGGTCAAAAGGCAGATCCATTTTTAATTTTTTGAGGTATTTCCATACTGCCTTCCACAGTGGCTGCATCAGTCTGCATTCCCACCAACAATACAAAAGGGGTTCCTCTTTCTCCACATCCTTGTCAGCACTTGTTGCTTGTTGATTTATTGATTACAGCCATCCCGACAGGTGTGAGACGGTATCTCATTGTAGTTTTAAGTTACATTTCTCTGATGATTAGTGACTTTGAGCATCTTTTTATATATCTATTGGCCATCTGTATGTCCTCTTTGGAGAAATGTCTGTTCAGGTCCTATGTCCATTTTTAAATTGGGTTGATTGTTTTTTTTTGTGTTGAGTTTTGTAAGTTCTTTATAAATTTTGGATATTAACACCTTATCAGATGTATCAGCAAATATGTTCTCCCATTCTGTGGGCTGTCTTTTTATTCTGTTGATGATTTCTTTAGCTGTGCAATACCTTTTTAGTTTGATGTAGTCCCATTTCTTTGTTTTTCCTTTTGTTTCCCTTGCCTGAGGAGATATATCTGATAAAAAATTGTTACAAGCAATGTCCAAGATTTTGCCACCTGTGTTTTCTTCTAAGATTTTTATGGTTTGGGGTCTAACATTTATATCTTTGATCCATTTTGGATTTATTCTTGTGTGTGGTGTAAGAAGGTGGTCTAGTTTCATTTTTCTGCATATATCCATCAAAAATTTTAGCTTTCTGTACATTATTAAAATAGCTCAGAACTATACAGTTCTCCTCAGATAATGTTCACATGTATAAGGGCTCATGCTCACACACTGTAGTAATAGGCTTACATATAAATTCACTGTAATTGTTTCTTCTAAAAATATGTATGTCTTCCATGAAGCAAATACAGTATATCATTCAAGGAATTTGTCTAGAACTACATCAGTCACAGTTACCAAAAGGATAAAGGTTAAATGGAAAAATCACAATCCATGGAAATTACATAGAACTTTACTATTTTTAAGTTTTGGGTGTGTTTTAATTACTTGTGTCTATATGCCTCTGTATAATGCAGCAGAACATTATTAATATCACTGTATGTGGCCAGTATTATTTTGATGTGTTCACGCATCTGCCATTCTCTTTGTTGCCCTGCCCTCCCTGCACCTGTAGTCTTCCATCTAGGTTTGTGTTTCCTCTACCTAAAGAACACTCTGTAGTATATTCCCTAGTAGATATCTCTTGCTGGTGAATTCTCTCCATCACTGTTTGTCTGAAAAATGTTTCCATTTTGCCTTCATTCTTGAAGAAATGTTTGTTTGACATTGAATTCTTGGTTGGTAGCTCCTTTTTTTATTTTTTACTTAATACTTTAAAGATATTCCATTGTCTTCTAGCTTCCATTATTTTTAATGAAAAGTTCACTATGAGTTTAATTGTTGCCTATTTGGATATAATGTATATTTTGTTCTGAAGGCTTTTAAACTATTTTTTTCCTGTCTTTGGTTTACAGCAGTTAAACTATGATCTGCCTCTGTGAGAACTTCTTTGTATTTTTCCTGCTTGGGGGTTAGGACTTCTTGAATCTGTGGCTTATCATCTCCTACCATTTTTATAAAATTCTTAGCCATTATCTTCTTAAGTATTATTTCCGCCCATGACCTCTCTTTCCTCCTCATAGGATTCAAATTCCGTGTCTGATGGGTCATCTCAGTGTGTGCTGTAGGTCTCTCATCCTCTCTTCTGTATTAGCCGCCGTCTTGGCTCTGGGTTTCTTCTGAAGGTTGAATGAGTCCAGTTCACTGATTTTCCCCTAACCCATGTTTACTCTGTTGGGAAATCCATTATATTCTTTACTTTAGTGGATGCTTCTTTGTTCTGGAATTTCCATGAATCTTCTAAAAGTAGATTCTAGTTCTCTACCAAAATCCTCACGCTTGTCTTTAATCTCTTTAAATATCATAAACGTAGTCATTGTAAAATCTATATCTGATGTCTGTATATCAGAAGGCCCTGTGGGTGTGTTTTATTATCTGTTGTTTCTAATGTTTTTTAGTCATGTCATCTGGTCTGTTCATGGACCCCTCCCCCTTTTAAATTAATGTCTTTTACTTGAAAAATTGTGGAAATAGTTCAAAACTTTAAACCAGTTTAAGAACTGAGATGATCAAATTCTGAGCTTCAGACCTTGAGAAAGCTTGTCTGCTTCTGGTTCACGTCACTTCTAGTGTGTAGCACTTCAGAATCGCAGCCCAAAAGAGTGGGCTCACCATAGAGCACCCCTCCTTTGTGTGCCCTGACCTCCATTCCCTGCCCTCCCCACAACCCGCCCCCCACAGTGCTTTGGGAATCACCCAAAGCCCACTTGATCCTACAGCTGCTCCACTTTGGAACATGCAAACGCCCATGGAGGAACTCGCCCCAAGCACTAGATTCTCACCTCTGAGCCATCACCCTTTCCTGATCTTGATGCAGTGATTTTTTTTTTACTATCTTATTTTCTGTCGAGTGCTATAAGGAACTTTTTTTTAACATTTCATCCAGAGCATCTGTTTGTTTTTCAGAGTATTTAGTTGTCCTCTTCTAGAAAAACTCTTGAAAATGGATTTTTTGAAGCTACTTCATTATTTTTTCTTTTTTATATAGCTTGAAGATGAAAAAATTAAATTTCTATGAAAGTTAAACTATTAAAACATCAAGTGCATTTCACCCTAATTTAATGGCAATAGTAAGACTTTCACTAGAGAGTTTGCAGATCCCTGCACACAGTGTCCGCTCGCCTGTATGTACATATTCCCACTCCCAGGAATGTTTTTCTCTTGCAGCCACACCTCTGTTCCATCCCCATTACTTTGTAAAACCAGCGCAGTGTATCCTCACTTAAGAAAACACCTCGTCTCTTCGCCAGCGGGTCTTTGGCCTCCCATAACTTAATACCGTGAGAAGTATTATAACCCCACTCGCCCCATGTATTGGAAATTACTGTTCATATGCCTTTTTTGCCTACTTGATTGTGAACTCCTTTGGAATCAGGACTGTCTTTTTCGATCTATTTCCTCAGCCCAGTTCATGGCATGTAACAGTGTAGAGAAAATGGCAGCTATGGAAAAGAGCCTGGGCTTCCCCCACTTTTAATACTTGTTTTCAAACAAATGCAGGAATTGATTTGAGTATCTGGACTTGACCGTGCAGGTGGACAAGCAGTGTTCTCTGCTCAGACCTCTCCAGATCCTGCCCATCCCTCAGGTCCTGGGTGAAAGCCCTCCCTGAGGACTCTAGCCCTCACTGATTCTGCCTCCCCTAAATTCCCAGGGTGCACATTCATTTAGCCAGTAAACATTAAGCCTGTACTGTGTGCCACATACCCTTCCAGGAGCCAGGGATACAGTGATAAACACCTAAGTGCCTGCCTCATGGAGCTCACAAACTGTCTAACTCTGATCTGTGCTAGCACTGTTACGCATGAGAGGAACGTTTGTCCAGGGAGCTAATAAAGCACCAGACTGTGTCCTGGGTGTCAATCACCCATGAAGCTTTGGTCAGAACTGAACACTAAGTAGATATTCTTTCATCCTTGGGGGTCCGTTGACTTGTTTTAATGGAAACCAGTTATAGAGCTGAGCCTCAGTGAAAAGATATTTTGAGTGCTGAATGGACTTTCTCCTTGGCTCCTGCTCAGTATCTGCATATGGTAAGTATAGGTGCAGCAGAAAATTAAAAGCCTCATTCATGTGTTAGTGGAGGAGGTTTCTGGAACAAAGTCTTCTTTTTCTTCATTTAGCTTCTATATGTGTGTGTGAAATAAAACCCTAATGAAATGTTTTCATTGGTTTCCTTTCTTTTTCCTCTGTCTCTCACTGTTTTCACAGGTCAGCGTGGAAGTTTTGGTAGAGTATCCTTTTTTTGTGTTTGGACAGGGCTGGTCATCCTGCTGTCCAGAGAGAACCAGCCAACTCTTTGATTTGCCGTGTTCCAAACTCTCCGTTGGGGATGTCTGCATCTCGCTGACCCTCAAGAACCTGAAGAACGGCTCTGTTAAAAAGGGCCAGTCTGTGGATCCTGCCAGCGTCCTGCTGAAGCACTCAAAGACCGACACCCTCGCGGGCAGTAGACACAGGTACGCAGAGCAGGAGAACGGAATCAATCAGGGAAGTGCCCAGATGCTCTCTGAGAATGGTGAACTGAAGTTTCCAGAAAAAATAGGATTGCCTGCAGCGCCCTTGCTCACCAAAATAGAACCCAGCAAGCCCGCAACAACGAGGAAGAGGAGGTGGTCGGCACCGGAGACCCGCAAACTGGAGAAGTCGGAAGACGAGCCACCTTTGACTCTTCCTAAGCCTTCTCTAATTCCTCAGGAGGTTAAGATTTGCATTGAAGGCCGGTCTAATGTAGGCAAGTAGAAGCAGTGTGGGAAAAGGAAATTCGGCTCTCCCTTATCATTTGTATCCAGATTACTGTACTGTAGGCTAAATAACACAGTATTTACATGTTATCCTCTTCCTTTAGGTTTCTGTTATAACCTTGTCATTAGAGTTACAGCTGGTGTTGCGCAGGAGACGGGTGCATATGCTTTTTCTGATTGTCAGTGGGCAAGTGGGGAGCTAGAACAGGGCCAGTCCAGGCACCAGGCATCCTGGTGGAAATGAATGTGGCTTTAGAGAGCCTGCCTCTTCAAGCCGCACAGAAGCATCCACTGGGCGCGACTTCTGCTGGTTTCCCGAGGAAGTTTGGAGGGAAGGGAATTGCAGGGGGTGCGTGTGTGCGGGGCTGCAGGGGTGCCACAACAAGTGAGGGTCTTTTTCTCTCTGCCTCCCCGTCTCACTCTTGCTCTCAGCACGGGATTGGAGGTCCAGAGACATGTCCTCAGGAGGTCTCATGTGCAAAATAAATATCAGGGACCCAGCTTCAGGGCACCCTAGAAAGATATCGACAGCAGATGGAAAGAGAACCCTGTAAAAGAACATTTCTCCCTCCGACATATTTTACAATAAAAGCAACTTTTAATCATATAGATATATATTTCCCCCTATGGGGCCTGACTGCACTGATTTTTTTTTTAAGAGCAACTGCCACACGTGGGATTTCGTTTGTGCTTCACTAGAGCAGTGATGTCTCCAGGGTGTCTGGTGGGCGGCGTGCTCCGCGTCAGGGGGGTGGGCAGCAGGGTGGAGAGCAAACACCCACTCTGGTTTCCGTGCAGTGTTAGGAAAACCAATCAGGTTATCACATTGACTTCTCTCCCAAGAGGTAGACACGAACTGCCCTTCAGAGAGCACTGGAAGCTCTTCACATTGGGTTTGCAAATCTTTTGTCTTTTAACTCTAGTACTGTTTATAGTTTATGACTATGGACAACTCGGGTGCCACTTTTTTCAGATTCCAGTGTGACGTGAGGAATTAGATTTTGAAGACAAGCATATATATTACTATCTCTAAGCACTTAAAATGCTGTTCACACTTTATTACCAAGCATCTTGGTCTATCATTCAACAAGTACTGTATCTCACTTTAAAGTCTTTGGGAAGAAAAACAAACTAAGTTGCTTTCTTTTTTCAACACTGTAACTACATTTCAGCTCTGCAGAGTTTCTCGCGTCAAGATTTTGAAAGTTTCAATGTGGTGTAACAGGATGAATGTGAATTCTGAACTAGTGTGTGACAAGGAACGACCACCAAGGACAGCCTGGCAGGAAGGCACTTCTCACTTTGATGTTTTGAGAATGAATCAAAGGCATATGCAGAGCTGGCAGAGAAACTGAGAGAAAAGGGATGGAAAGAAAAAATACTCATTTTTGTCCAGTGTTTTTCTTTTTAAGATGAACTTTTAAAGAACCTTGCGATTTGCACATCTTGAGTTTATAATTTGTGTGATATTCCTGCAGTTCTTATCCAATAACATTGTGGGAAAGGTTTGGGGGACTGAACGAGCATAAATAAATGTAGCAAAATTACTTTCTAACCTGCCTAAACCGTAGGCTGTTTTATAAGGTTATGTTCCTTTCAAAATTCATTTTGGTCGTTCTGCCACATCTGTCACAAAACCCAGGTCTTAGCAGGACAACTCTGAGAATTTTCTTCAAATTCATTGAGAGAGTTTTCCGTAGAGACATTTCTATATGTGAGCAAGTTTTGTTTTTTTTTTTAAAAAACAATTGCTTCATTACTGTTGTTGTTAATGTTATTTCTGGAGTGACTTTTTTTCCCCATCTGCAGTCAAGTCAAGATTTAATGTTTGGTACATACCCAGAAAGGGTATTTTATAGTGTAAGCCTTTCATTCCCACAGAACTGAAATATTATTTGTAGGTTTGGAGTTTGCATCTCAAAGTACTTTTTAAAAAAGCTTTATAAGCAGGGAGAATTTTTTTTTCAATATTCTTACTTGGAATGGCTGCAACTAATTTGAACAAATACTTCTTATTTTTTTCTTTTACCATTGAAAATAGTACTTTTTTCATTTCACAAATTTAAAAAGAAATTCTAATGTCAACCCACATTTTGGGTATCTGGTATTCCTTCACATTTTGTTCTCACCAGGACTAATGATTTTTTTTATAACCCATTTTCTGGGATGTACCAAAAACATTTGAATAGATGTAGAATAGCTAAAACAGGTCCTGGACTTTCTTTGAATTTCATTACCCTCTCAGCATGCTGGCAGAGAGCTGGGTGGGCCCATTCTCCCAGTCATAATGCTTATTTAGTGCTGTATTTTTAAAGCATTTCTGTTCAGAGAACTTGCTTAATCTTCCATATATTCTGCTCAGGGCACTTGCAGTTATTAGGTTTTGTTTTTCTTCTTGTTTTATAACCTTTGATGGTAAGAGGAATACGGGCTGCCACATCGACATTGTCCTCATTAGTACCACTAATTACAGCCACTCATGTGGACTCAGAAAAACACACACCACCTTCCGGCTCCCTTGGAGTACTGAACCAGCTGGATCCACAGCACCAACACTAAAGTGGGAAAACATCCATGGCTTGGAGCAATAGGAACATCATCATTTTTGTGCTTCTATTTCAGGTACAGGAATTGTAAGAGAATTGGTTCTTTCTAAACATTGTCCCATGTCATTCTCCTGCTTTATTAGCATGTGCAATACTTTCCGTGCCAATAGAGTCTGATCAGTGTGCTCTCGCTGAAGTTCATATGCCCTTTTGGCTTTTTCCTTGTTTGGAGGGAAGGAGCCAGGAAGGAGAGAGCCTCCCACTGCACGCTCCCCCTGCTGCTGTGGATGCTGAGTGCTGGGCAGGAACCTTCAGGAGCCCAGGTGTTTGTCGTGGATGCTGCAGACTGAGCAAAGGAGATCTGGGGGACAAGCTGCAGTTCCTTTGTCACCATGAGGAGTAGTGAATGTGGAGAGGAAGGAGGCAGAGTCATTTCTAAAGTGCATTCTGCAGCAATATGGCCAGGATCACCCCATTTTCCAGGCCCTTTTCTGCAAGTGGGCAGGCCCCTCCTCAGGTCTGTGTCCTTGAGATGTTGAGCCGCACCTCAGCCCCAGCAGGAAGTGCAGCCCAGAGTGCATGCGCTCTGAGTGCGAGGGCCAGTGGCTGCGGAGGGACCGCCCTTGAACACTGCTCACCGCTCCTCTGTGGCAGCTTTCTCTTCAAATAGGAAGAACATCCAGGGGACAGGGAGCCTCCTCTTGTTTGCAGACATCGGTGAGCCTGAGGCTCCCGAGCAGCCCTTGTCACCGCTCCTGTGTAGCAAACCTAGCAATGACAGGCGTAGAAATTCTCTGGTGCCCTGCCGCTTACAAGGATCAGCCATGTGCCTCTGTACTATGTCCACTTTGCAATATTTACTGACGGCCGACTTCAGTTCCTTCTTTCCTGTTTTCCATTTTTAAACTAATAACAGCAGGCCTTCTGCGTTTACAATGGAACACAATCACTGAGAAATTAGTCAGGGTGAAAAGAAAAAATATAATAAGAAACCAACAAACAAGAACCTCTCTTTATAAGGATTTCTAAATATGGAAAATGACTGTTCCTTAGAATGTTTAACTTAAGAATCACTTCAGTTTGTCTGGGCCACACTGGGGTGGAGATAAACAGATGGGTGCCACTTACCTCAAATCTTTTGAAGTGGAAATCCAAATTGCATTTTCATTTGGACTTTTCAGGATAATTTTCTATGTCAGTCAGTTTTGTTTTCCCCGACTCGCCCAGTTTGGTTTGGGGTGGTTTGATTTTTTTCATTGCCGTTGTTGACCCCATTTCTAACTCTGAAGCGTGACCCTATGTGTTTTTTGTTGGGTGAGTGTGTTGGGTTTCTCCCCCAGCAGGAAGTGGCAGCAGCTTCCTCCTCCCCTACACAGAACTCTGCGGAACCTTTCACACCTCTTACTCAGGGACGGGGATGGCGCGTGAGTGGTACACTGATGTGTCCAGAAGCAGCACTTTGACTGCTCTGGAGTAGGGTTGTACAACTTCAAGGAATGTTTGGATTTCCTGCACCTTGTGGATTACTCCTTAGATCCTGCATAGATTGCAATATAATGCTGCATGTTCACGATGAACAGTAGCTCCTAGTGATCATAAAATCCACTCTTTGCACATAGTTTGATCTTTACTGAAATATGTTGCCAAAATGTATTTTTGTTGTAGCTTTGGAATTTTTTGTTTGTTTGTTTTTTAAGGAAACAATTGACAATACCCTTTAACATCTGTGACTACTAAGGAAACCTATTTCTTTCATAGAGAGAAAAATCTCAGATGCTTTTGAAGACACTAATGCCATGCTATTTCAGATTTGGGTAAAGAAGCAGAGCTCTTGGGACAGAAGGCCAGGCTTTTTGAGCTGCGTTGGTTGCCATGGCTACTGTTTCATGAACCGCAAGCAGCTCAACAAACTGTGGTCTGTTCTCCCTAAAACCCTTTGCACTTCCTATTTCCTAGTCACCCGTGATGAGTCCAGGTGACCACAGGGCTGGCAGTCTCCGAGGCCCAGTCCGGCTTCTCTGGCGGTGATATGAAAGAAAAGGGAATTATGCTTTTTTTTTTAAATTCTGTAAAGTGGAGTGGAGGCCTTTGCTTCCACGTTTGTGTTTTCAACCCAGAATTTCTGAAACAGAGAATTTAAGACAACATCAAGTAATAAATATACAGAGAATATACTTTTTTATAAAGCACATGCATATGCTATTGTGTCGGGTTGGTTTCCTCTCGTTTCCACGGACAGTGTCGTGTTTCTGTAGACAGGGAAACTCCAAACAGTTTGCACACCTCTACTCTGGAGCTGAGACTTCTTCTACGCAGATGACCTCGCTTCGAATGTGTTACCTTACTGACAGGATCTTTTCTTGTAGCACTAGACCTTGTGGGAATTTTCTTTTTCTTTTTAATGTACGCCTAATCTGAGAAACTGAAGAAAACATTTTTTTGAGGCACTCACTTTGAGGAGTACAGGTAATGTTTTAAAAAAAATTGCACAAGAGAAAAAATGAATGTCGAAATGATTCAGTGTTTGAAAGATACGGATCTGTTGAAACGATGAGTTTCATACCTTGTTTGTAAAAACAAAAACAAAAAAGAAGCATAAGGTGGGAAGTTACATGTTTTTTTGTATATAGAAGTTTGTCACGTCTAAATGATCGGATTTATATGGTTATGGCCTGGAAGAATTACTGCGTCGAAGGCTCTGAAACTGTACCTATGCTTCCTTTATGTTTGTGTCCCACAGAGCCCCCTTCCGAGAGAGGGCCACTCTGTGTTCTGCAGTTTGAAAATACTGTTCATTCCTACGCTGAAAGTCCTTCTCTGAGCTCTCTTCTTAGTTTAAACTCTTAAGCCATTGCAACTCCTTTTTCTTCAGAGATGATGTTTGACATTTTCAGCACTTCCTGTTCCAATAAACCCAAAGAATATAATCCTGAACAAGAAGTGTTTGTAACAAGGGATCCTAGCTACCAATAAAACAGGACTCATTACAAGGACAAAAAAAAAAAAAAGAGTTCAGCATTTTCTCCCCCCACACCTCATTTAAATGGGGGGTAAAACACGAAATTCAATTTAAATGCCTCATTTTACTTCAGTTAACTTTTTCTTTAATATTGAGGCCAAAATCCATGTGGGGCAACGTCTCAGAAGAGTCATATTCTGTCCCAGAATCCAGCCAGCCAGCGGAGACTGGACAGCTGTGGGGATATTGAGCAAGCCCAACTACAATTCTTAAATTCAGAATCTCAGCTTCTCCCTTACCGTGAAATGCGACATTTCTGGTAGCTGACACTCACCTGTACCATGGCAGGAGGGAACAGCAGCTTCGATTTTGTGTCCTCTTGACTTGCATACAAATGGTTCAGCCGTATTAAAATTAAGTGCATTTGGCCAATAGGTAGTATCTATACAATAATAGTCTGTAAGAATTTCCGTAACGTCTCTTATCTGAAAGGACTCAAGTCTTCCACTGCAGATAATTGGAGACTTTGCCCAAGTTTTCTTTCCCTTTAGTTTGTTCGTTTACTATCTGGATGGCCAGTGGGCCTGTCCCCTCTCCCACGGCCAGTCTGAAGGCCTCCGTGGGACACGTTGTTCACAGTGACCTTCGCTAAGGTGGCACACTGTCCTCTGGGGTGTCAGGTCTGAGGTGGCACTAGCTTAGAGCTGTGGTCCTGAAAGAGCAGTTACCAAGAAGTCGGGTGCGTGTAGGTTTCCTCTGGTTCTCACAGGAACCCCCGACTCTTAAGTTATGATCTGGTCCAGGGGTGGGACGAATTCTTTAGTCTGTGAACATTGAACTCGACACCTGTGCATTTGATTCTGTGAATACTGCCCTTTTGGCCTCAGGGAGGTTTCTCCCTCCCTAGCCGTCACTGCTTACCTGTAAATCCAAATTAGTGTCAGCTGGTGAGAGGTTTCAGGACAGCCCTCGAGTCCAAGGTGGCCTTCAGTGAAGACAGGGTCCTGATTTCTAGCCAGTGGGATCCTGGCCCCAGAACCTCTGAGATCC